TGCGATGCCTTACGACCAATAGATTTCATCTATAAAGATGTTCGGCATGGAACCATACAGCTTACATCGGAAGAAAACGACGATGATCCAGACTTCCAGCAATCTCCTGAAATTCCGTCTCAAAAAGCAGCGAAACAAGCCATATCAGAGACCGAAAAGATAACCAAAAAAATTCTGGAGTATTTGGAAGAACGAATACCTCATGGAATTAAGGGACCGTCACAAAGTCATTGGAAAGAAGACAAGGTCGTCAGATCAGCATCCTCGCATCGGAGACGTGGTGCTCCTTGACGATGACTCGCCACAGCCAAGAGGACAATGGCCAATGGCTGTAATTATTGATCTAATCAGAAGCAGAGATGGAGAAATTCGAAGTGCTCTACTTCAAAATTCAACAGGAAGGACTGTTCAAAGACCGGTCAATCGTCTCATTCCTTTGGAAATACAGTCCTCCGCCCAGTCTTCGGAAGACCGAATTCACGAGCCTTCGACAGTAGAACAGAGGACCACAGTCCGGAGAAAACCATCCTCCAAATTGTCAAAAAAAGACGTGGTCATAAGACATCAGCCACCAAGAGCTGCAAAAAATCAGGCATCTTACAATGAAGCAAGATCCGGTTCCAAAAGCTCCAGCAACTCGAGCTCAACCACGCTTTTCATGATCGCCATGTGTGCGCTTTCACTTTTCAACTCAGTGTCTGCAGCAACAATATCCTGTTCAAGCAAGGGAGCAACGATTAATAGGACGCACTTCACTAAGGCGGAGCTCTGTATAAATTACAGAGAGTGCAAGCTTATCCCAGAAGGGAATAACGTGACCGAAGTTGCCCTACCATTCAAGTACATCGTCAGTCAACACACCATTCAATGGCGGACGATCGTTGACTCCAAACAATATACAGAAACGATAGTCTGTCCAGCAGGAGACGTGTGCCAAAAAATCAACTGCATTATGTGCACAGAATTTTTCGGAAATCCTCACTGCGCCCCTCGATTGGCGATAGGGATCTTCGCACTCTGCCTGGCAGCCATCCTCACCCCACTATCATTGTTATGTTACATGACCTGTCGACTGACACTCTTCAAACGAGGCTGGACACGAATTAAAAGAATGCTCGAGCAGAGTCATATTCAGCAGCAGAAAAAGGAGAGCTTTTCAATGACGAAGTTGTCTGCGCTACCAACGAGCTCAAAACTGATCATATTCAGCGTCGTAATGGCTCATCTGTTCTCAAACGGACAATCGTGCCAGTATACGCACACACTAAACGCAAACAACACAGTTTGCTCTCGATCACCTACAAGACCGACTGCCGAGAAGTTCAGGAAAGCACCATTACCCTGAGCGAAAATAGACCTCAAGCTTGCTTTCGCCTTCGGAACGGGAACCAAACAATAGGAAGCATGGAAGTACAGTTGCATCATGTGTTCCTGACCTGCAACCCAGTCATGCTTTTCTACACAAGAGACGTCGACATTATCACGGAATCTGTAAAGCGATGTGACCTAGCTGGCTCCTGCACCTCACGGAAATGTACACACATCAGCAGCAGGACTGAGATTCCTGAACTACGCGACACCTACGAATATCCTGGAATCGCACGATGTACCACATCGTGTGGTGGACTTGGATGCGGATGTGTCCTTCCTATGCCTGGATGCCTATTCTCTCGTTCTTATGCAAAACCGAAGAACAACAAGATCTACCGGGTATTCCATTGCCCAACCTGGCAGGAATCCGCTTTGATAACATTCACCTACACCGGAGCACAAGGAACAAAAGCATCTGATACGATTACGATCGATACACAAACAACGCATGTCATGAAAGATGCCAACATCACTTTGAACTTTATTACAATGCCAGCAATTCCACTATTAGGCACATTATTTGTGGGAACGGTCGACTTCAACCACTCAGAAATAGCTACGATTGAGCCACATTCTTAGCCTACGATGTTCAACAATGAAAAGTGCCTCCAACATATCGGAATGTTACGTCGAAGACAGGTGCTCGTGCTCATCATCGGAAACAGAAGCAAAATGCGACTGCAGAAATCTGAACATTAGCAGCAAGATGCGATCAACAGAGAGCCGGCTTCCACTATCTTCCTCAGTCCTGCATCTTCAGGACAATCATGGAAGAGTTTTCGGAGCCGTACACAGTGCTGTGGTCGATCTCACGATAAGCACTTCTGCAACAAACCATGCTGATTCTATTAGGTCAACTCATTCAAACATGTCCAGACATCTAGAGAAATGGTGGGAAAAGTAAAAGAGCTAGAGCATTCTACTTGCTTTTGCTTTTAAGCTAGCACACCCAGCTACGGTATACCCTAATTTAGTTTATAGTGCTGCAGGAGGAAACACTTAAACACATAAAAGAATTCATAGTGACCCAAATCGAGGTGGAATTTCCAGATGACTGGTGACACACGTAAAATTCGCAACTCGAATTCTGTGTGTGCTGGCTCAACTTACGCGTGATACAGTGTTCTCGAAGTGCTACGTTGAAGATATGGTGTGAGAGCTCAAAGAAGGGAGAACGGAAGCGAGTTGTGGTTGAGGACGCGTTCATATTGTCCACCTTGCCCAAGAAGAGCGGGTGGATGAAATGAGGTTTCAAATGGCGCATCACAGATGTTGAACCTTTGCGATGTTTGCCCACGAGACTTGCAGTCTAGCTGCACCTGTTACGCAAATTGTGCCCAAAAATTGGGGATGGTCCACAGAACATGTTTTTGGATATCCCATTTACTCCCAGATGCAGGAGTCCAGAATCGAATTGGTGTCTGTAGCAATGATTTTCTCTGCCGATAACGGCATTTAAGACTATCAAACTGGACCCTGCTCATAAACGAAATTTGTGTGTAATTGTACGCTGAGGCCAAAGTCAGAAGTGTCAACTTTGGATTAACGCGAATGAGGAACTGCCCGAATTGGATCACGAGAAGTCACGTGGGTTCACGTGGATGATTATTATGGCGATGGATTTCTGAGGTGTGCCTCTTAAATGGCTCTGTCGGGAAAAAACCTCCGGCGTTTCTCAAGTTTATGGCTTGTTTCTTAGCGAACAAATTGACAAAGGAATAGCAGTATAAAACTACAATAACGATATCATCACCTATGTCGATACCAGACCCTACATAGCTCATATTGCTCACGGGTATTTCGATCAAACGGATATTGTGGCCTCTTCTTATCAGCCGTATTTTCCCAACTGCAGCCATGCGACCTCAGCTGTTTTATCGAACTGAACGCCCTACTCGTTCGGAAGCGCTACGACAATTCGTTGATCATCTATACTGACATCAAAAGCATCTTGTCTATACTTGTTGAAATGAAGAAGCTGCGCGGTGTCCAGTGTTTTCTAGACGCTGGGATCGGGTCGTTAACAACGACAAGATCTGCTTGACTTCACACCAAAGTATTAGCTTTTTATCTTTCCTGCTGTTCATTTTATTCGAATAAAACCGTGGACATGTTTGAATGAGATGACCTAATATAATTGACAGCGAGAACTGCGAAATAACTACATCATCACTTCACGGCTGCTACAACTGTCTGCGAGGAGCTGAAGTCACGTTTTCGTGCTATTCCTATCGACCAATCACTATAGAAATAGAATGCCAGGAAAAAATGTTCTCGGCAATATGCAATTCGTCCACGGCCCGATCAACGGCGACTATTCACGCAACAGTACCAAGATACAAAAATAGCTGTGTAGTGAAATGCGGAAGCAGAACGCACAATCTCGTCATATCAGGGATATTGGCGTTCCATACGCACTGGAGAACACCATCTGACCAGCGCATGATCAAGCATGCCAACTATGTCAACATGTTCAACTATCCTGATCTGGGACATCTACTAGATGTCGCTATGGACCACTGGAAGTCAGCAATGATGGCTTTCTTAGCAGTCGCCGTCTTCGTGGCTGCAATGGTCTTCACTATTCCGAAACTCATCACGCGAGCAATTTGTTGAACAACTGTCGCCACAGTGACCGGATTACTAGTCAGATAGATTTTATGGATATGAGTGTACTCTTTGAATGTCTTCATATTTGCTTAATTTTCAGTCGTTGCGCAATTGATAACTCTTGTATCTTTGCTTGTACTTGTACTTTTGAATATCCATTTTGCTCGAAATTGTATTATAGCTACCGCTAATTTTCGCCCCGCCCCAGTGTTGTGGATACACAACCTATATATTTCTACTAGAGCTAGGATTCATATAAGTGAATGATAACGTGCTAGTTCAAACTATTTACCTTAGGACGTTCTATAGATGAGTATCTCTTGAAATGATACCGCAGGCATGACCTGGCGGTATCATAAGTGTGCAATCAAGTAGGTAACTTAAATATTGCTGTTGGCGCGGTCCACCCTTTCATCCCCCGAGCTTGAGTACCGCCACTGGCCCCCACGGTCCAGCGGCGACACGGTATCTGAGGACCGCCCACATTTTCTGTATATAAACCCCATTGAATGCATTATTATTGTCGATTCTTACACTAACACGTCGTAATAAATATTACACGTCACTGGTTAAGTCTTCCATTGGCTCACTAGTCAAACGCCATTTGTGATTACCTACCAACACGAGAAATCACTGACCATCAAGGAGCATTTCCACGGGCAGCGAACAGGGTTTGATAAGAAGCACTAAGTCTTTTTATGCTGACCAGTTTAGCTCCGCACGCTACCGCGCGCATCACACCGAAGGCTTGGGCGAAAAAGTCGGTGGAACGTTAGGTTTACCGGTAAGAAGTAAGTTTTTCAGTGAAATGCGTTAGCTGTCTCTCCGCTTGATACGCGCGGATATGGAGCTAAACTGGTGTCTGTAAACAACCACCATGCATCGAATGTCAGAATAATTTGGCGGTCGAATAACCTTTGACGCTAATGAATTTGAAATGGAAATACCCAGTACTCATTATCATGTTTATCCAAACATCCACCGTACATTTTAGGAGTTCTAGGTCCCGAATTCTAGGTTCTAGGGAGTGGAGCGGCCGAATGGTATTTTGGGTTAAGGATAACAACGCAAAGAAATGCTATAGAAATAAAAAGCGTTATCTCGAATCTGGTTTCGAGTGACCTCTATGTTCATACGCATCATTGTTATCAGTCCTTATCAGCCGTTATCTCACTTGTCGAAACCAACGCCCCACTGCTGCTGGGACGCGCGCTATGAATTTCGTGAAATTTGCGTTCTAGCGCCTCTTATCAGCTCTTATCAGCCGTTATCACTTTCTGCCCCCACCAAACATGTTCCCGTCCACCCTCTACATCACTTCTTGGAAACCAACGCCCACTGCTGCTGGGACGCGCGCTATGAATTTCGTGAAATTTGCGTTTCAGCGCCTCTTATCAGCTCTTATCAGTCGTTATCACTTTCTGACCCCCACCAAATATGTTCCCGTCCCACCCCCTACATCATACTCAAAATACAGCGCTCCATGTTGCAGCGAAGCGCGCTATGAATTTCGTGACAAACAGACGCACACACACAGACATACTTAGCGAATTATATATAGTAGAATAGCAATTTTCGTGACGAATGCGCCCGACGGGCACGGTTTTCGCAGAAAAATGTGGGGAAAGGAATGGCTTATTGACAATCTGTCCAAGTTCGACTCCTTGATGGCTAAGCTTCGCAGTTGTAGAAATCAGTTGAATGAATGAATGCCGGATTTTGAGATGGTTTTTCTCCAGGATCGTTCCATTAATTCCAGACAATTTCTACGACCGGTCTTCAGCAGTTGCCTAAGTGTGTAAATGGCACACAGGAGCCGATCTCGACGCGCTCATTCACTTCAGGGAAGGCCTCCAGCATTTTTTGAACCACTTCTAATTTTCGTTATGTCTAGACTTGCACTCATTTTCAATTTGCTTACACTTGTTTTCGTCCTGCCTCATATTCCTTATAATCTCGAAATTTATACGTATCCTTTCCAACCAGGTCATATCTTGACGCAAACCACTGTTTAGCCATCATTGTCGATATGTCGTGATAGTCCGGCCCATGTAGATGTATGATCTCGCAGCAAGCTTTGATTTCGAAGGGCGAGTGTTCTAGGAATTGCTCGAACGATCTGGGACCTACGGAAACAAGGCTATGCGCGAATACGTTCATAGGGTTCGTCGATCATTGAGTAGCCGCACCCCATTACCCAGAATTCTCAGCAATCACGAACTTCCAAAAGCGGCTACTTCCAAGCCGTTAAACGGAGCTATTTTATATCACTTTTCTCTTCTTCAAGGCTGACTTAATCACTTCGGATACATTTTGTTCTGATTTTCCCGTTTTTTTTGTGCTTTCGCCTAGGTCAGACAAGCGGGTGTATGTACATAGTTTGAAACTGGGTACGGTAGCGTAATTAGCGGATTACTGTAGCGCACGGCAGGTCACTTCGCACTTCCCCAAATTGCCTGTGGGATGACCCCACTTAATTGCTTGCGCTGAATACTGACATTTCTGGACAGCTTCAAAACAAACAAAATGAAGCAAATGGAATAATATTTGAGTGAACCACTGTTTTTGAGTCAGTTTTTGAGTAATGATGAGAATTTATTAACCCTTTGGCGACAATGGCACCCACTGTTAAAAACCACTCTGTCCATCGCGTGGGACAATAGTACCAATATTTGGGTGTCTCGTAAAATTTTTTTCTTTGCACATTTGAAACATTTTTATCATTCTTGCATTTATTAGCAGGCATCATAATGTCTGTCTAGCAGGGTTCACAGAAATGTTCAGGAAGATCTTACTTATGGAAAGCTTCAGAATGTAGCCTTTAGCCCCCAGTATGTTCTATTTATTGTTACCAGAGGTTTTTCATAATTAGACTGAACACAAATTGCTAATCAAGACTTGCCCGTCTTCAGACACATGGACCGATTTAGACTGCACCAAAAATTTCTTTGTGCATATGAACTTCAAGGGGTTTTACCTCCCACCCCTTCAGAACCCGAGTCCCTCCCAAAACTAATTTTTTGCTAGCAATATATGACGTGAATTTAAAACTGTAGCTACACTATGTGCGTTGTTAAAGGTAAAGATCTGATAGAAAAATTGCTTTTAGAGGAAATTCGGCCCAATGTTGAGCGAGTGTCGGGCGCGCCAAAAACGGCGTGGTCCCACGAGCACGTTACGTGCAAATCCGCATTGTCGTCAAAGGGTTAATATCATACAAATTACTGGAAACAAAACTGAAGCAAACAAAAAAATGCATATGATCTACTCTATATAAATATCAACAATTATATTGCCCTGTTATTGACGTATCTGGACGTTTTCTCAGCTGTCGTAGCAAACCAGCAACTTAGATCATCACTAAGCAAAAATCGCCGTTCTAAAGCGTAAATACCTTGAAAAATTTTGTTCTTGCACTAATCCGAAATTCCTAATTTAAATTGATTAGTGGTAAACATGTGTTCCAACACATGTGAATTTTTTGATTCGCTTCCTTCAATACTTTTACAACATTGATAAAGGTTTCACAATACTCAAAAAGTTGGCTCAAAGACAGTGGTGCGTTGAAATGTTATTCCACTTGCTTCGTTTCGTTTTCCAGAAATGTCAGTATTCAGCGCAAGCATTAAGTGGGGTCATCCCACAGGCAAGTTTGGAGAAGTGCGAAGTGACCTACCGTACGCTACAGTTATCCGCTAATTACGCTACCGTACTCAGTTTCAAACTAAGTACTGCCACCCCATACTACAACCACCTGCTTCGGCACAGGAACCACTGGATCACGACTACGAGGCCACCACGATTATGGGATCGGTCACTTTCAAGCCTCGTAACGTCCGGGGCGGACTTATTAGGTAGAGGGAGGTGTAAAGGATACGGTTACTAAGAATGTGTTTGAGAAGCTTCCCATGCGGAATGCTGAAGGTGAAGGCCGGCAATAACGATGCGAGGGACGAGGAAAGAGCAACAACGCGACAGGCAGTCGAGATACCCGTGGAGAAACCGCGAGGTCGTGTTCTCCGTCCGGGCAGAGCCGCAATTGCCGTCGCCCATGCCTATTCTACCTTTGATAGCCACTCACCGCATACTTACCTCGAGCGTTGTCTCCATGTGCTATTTATACGCGATAATATGTATGCGATAACTTCGCTGGACCAAGTGTGTAGCTAGCTTTCTGCTTCTGTTTATCTTATTACTTGTATAATAAATCTGTTAACTCGCGTCTCTCATATTTGCCACCACTTACTGAAAGCGTTCAAAAAGCACTTGAAAAATTGCCTCACATGCGCAAGATTTCAAGGTTTGCCTTTGGGAGCACCAACCGTGGCCTGATCTTCCCTCAGACAGGGGTTCTTGCCACTAAGCCATTCCAAAACACGGGATATGACTTTCTCAGCCCATTCACTTCGAGAAATCTGGAGCAAATGTACGCTGCCTTGCCATGCCTGACTAACTGAACAATACATCACGAAGTCGTTGAAAACATGACCACATGCAAGGGCATGCTTAGAAAACTTCTTACGGTTTGCGTCAGGGAGAGGTGTCAAAGATAATGCGCACCGACTGTCGTTCGAATTTCAAACAAACCGAAAAATATTGGCCACTATGTTTGAAACGATGAACCGACAGGGAATTCCTTAATGTCCTACTGTGCAAACGAGAGGATAAAGTGGATATTCAACCCACCCGTATCTCCATGGATGGGAGGATTGTGAGAACGGCTATTTGCCTCAGTAAAGAAAGCATTGAACAAATCTATGGGCAGAACAGAACTAAGTTTTAAAGAGTTTTCAACAATTTTGACGAAAATTGAGGCTATACAGTGCGTACCAAAAGTATGTGGACACCCTAGAATCGATTCTCAGGAGTCAGCTAAAGGCTTTTTGTGTTATGAAACCTTCACCATTCAACTCCTAGTGGTCGATAACCTACAATGACATTTTCGGCAAAAGATTTCGTTCTAACTTAGCGAACTATTTTTCATGGAAAGTTTTTTCTTTGTATCAAAATTATGTGGACACCCTGAGGCAGATGAAGTTTTTGCATCGATTTCCTAACCTATTTTTACTTCTCCTTTCGTTACTTATTCTGGCATCATTCCTCTTCACGGCAAGCGTTTTTCTGAAGAAGACCGAGCACAGAAATGGGATCCCCATGCTTCTGAACCTTCCTATTGCGAAATAGCACGTCAACCAGTCATGCGTCCTCGTAGGTTTGGAGAGAAATCCGAAATCCTGATGCTAAGCTCTCGACCTTGACTGAGGGTTGTTCTCAATCGCTACTTGTTCAAAACAGGAGAAGAATAGCCTTAATTTTCTCAAATTATTCTTTTCGTACTACTCAACTTTACGCATAAATGATCTTCCCGATCTTAAAAAAGACCAATCGGTGTCTCATTCAATCAATTGAGCACACGACACGAAAGAAGATGAAGAAGGCTTTGTATATGAATGCGGGTTCAGGTTGGCAAGGTTGGAATTCCCACTCAAAAAAGGATCACAACATGATACTTTGAACCCACACAGACAGTGCTTTCGTGGAAATGGTAAAATTAGTATAAAAGACTTTCTGTGGAAATTTCTCTCATAGACCAACTCGACTGGCAGAAAGAAGCTTATTCCTTACTATTCGGGTGGGTCTTGAGGTTTTTGGAGAGACTTTGGTCGGACCCGCAGATGTGCTCGAAGAGACAATTCGGAAGATGTTCATCAAAGGTCTGGGGTGGTTCCAAAAGGAGGGGGACATTGAAGTTTGGCTTGCCAACATGTCAGGTAGACGACTAGGATTATAATGAGGTGCTTGAGTCCCGGCTACAACCTTTTTCGAAAAGTCATGGTTGCAAATCACTTGTTTTGCAGGGGAGGTCCCTGACACCATTCCATTTGGAAAAATGCTAAACGCAACGGCTTTGATTGGCAAGTCGGCTAGCGTATTCCTCAGACTTCATCCTTATTGAAAACGTAGAGGTATCGTGGTTCGCGGTCTCTACGTCATTGAACAAAAGAGTAATATCACAAGTGACCTAACACGTCGGTGAAATTTGCTAGTTGGGAACAGATCTGCAAGACATGTATCCAGACCCATTCATAGCATGCCAAACAGAATGGCTCAACTTACTAGAAACTTTGGTAGGCCTACCGATTTCAGATTCTGAAGATATTGCCGTTTTTCAAAAAGTGTCCACATAATTTTGATACAAAGAAAAACTTTCCATGAAAAATAGTTCGCTAAGTTAGAACGAAATCTTTTGCCGAAAATATCATTGTAGGTTATCGACCACTAGGAGTTGAATGGTGGAGGTTTCATGACATAAAAGCCTTTAGCTGACCCCTGAGAATCGATTCCAGGGTGTCCACATACTTTTGGTACGCACTGTTTGTAAGGCCTTTAACGAAGTTAAATTTGAATGAGATAACAGAGATTCCACTTCACTCCATCGAATTCTTGGAAAGAAACGTCAAGTATTCAAGCCCCCAAGCACAAGACCTAGAGACTCAGAAAGGTCCTTGCTATGATTCTGATTTGATTCAGTCTAGAGAGCAAGCCACACGAACTACTTCCGCTCCGTTTTTCCGTAGAAAAGGCAAGTAAATTCTGGGAGTGTTGGAAGTACGAGTATCTAGTTTTGCTAAGTGAAATGCAAAAATAATACCTGAAACAATTAAGACATCTGCAACGATTTTGCCCCGTATTGATTTAACAAGACCTGCTAACGAGAGGAAGTTGGCCTTATGGCAAAATCAATGAGATAATTACCTTGAATGATAGACTAGTAAGGTCAGCAAAAATATTGCTGCCAAATCAGTGAACATACAACGTCCTCTGCATAAGCTATATCCACTCGAGATACGTAGTGTTGTAAAGAACCGCACGATAATACCCGCATTATTGGGAAGACTTAAATAACAGGGTATTTTGGACGAATTAGACCCGCAAAACGCAAATGAAACATGAGAAAGACAACAAAAACTTTCTAGATCTCAAAAACGCGTGCCTATGATTTTTTCGAGATATGCCTAGCAAGCTACGTTACTTGTCAAAATCGAAACCGATGAATTCATCGCTGATATTGCTCGCACTGCTTTCTATAATGATCAGCCCGGCAATTGCGACCGTTAATTCATCAATTATATCATGCTCTGTTGGCGTGGTTAGTGTCCCCCCGCTGAATGGCTGGTTTGAACTATGCATCGACGATGAATGCCAATCAATGAACAACACTACACGCTATACAAGGTACATTCTTCCAATTTCTCCAACCGAGAAAGGAGCCGAAGTACTTTTACGAACCCTCCATAGCGACGGTACACATGTACAAACCCGTCATCGAAAGAGCGGAAATTTTACGAGCACCAATACTTATTTTCAAAAGCTTGCCAGCCAGCCCACATGGCTGGCCGGCTGTCCCTATTGCGACCTCGGCTGTTCTAAACTATTTGGCCATAACGCTAATCCTATGTAAGATATGGGTGATAATGAAGATAATAAAGAGAATAAAACATCATGATCAGGCAACACCATCAGTTGGACGCCAAACTGTCAGGCCATCGGCACCACCAGAAAGCTTCGAACTAGCACCGCTCCCTGGTGTAATTCTGACATTAGGCGCAGTGTTATGCTTAAACGCAACTGCTGCAGCATGCCAGCATGGAATTATGTGCCATTCAGCAGAACTTATATGCAACGAAAATAATAAATATCACCTAGAATATAACAGAGAGCTCTTATTCAACAAGCTCCAATCTCAACTTTGCATCGAAATACTGCATGCCAACAAAACCGTAGGATTGGCAAGATTCGAGAAGAAAACAGTTCAGAGTTCAAATGCTCGAACAACGGGATTTTTCACAAGACTATTCGAAACCCAGATATTTCATTCAAAGTGTTGCGTCAATACAGGGTCCTGCGTGACAAGAAAATGCGAAACGATGAAAGCCAACGAAAAATACCAGAACTAAACCACACGTTAAGATATCCGGGATAGGCAGGCTGCATGAGTAACTGTGGAAGAATTTTCCGCGGTTGTGCACTACCACTACCCAGCTGTTGGTTCTATAGAGTTATTCAGAAATCAGTACCTGAACGAGTATTCGAAGTAGTCCGATGTCCTCATTGGCCGATGTCCAACTTTGCGATTGGAGCGATTTTGCACCGTCGATCCTGCAATTGGTGTAAAATCGCTCCAACCGCAAAGTCTGACATTGGTCATTGGAATCCAACAGCTAAGCTGGCGATCGAGCCGACAATAAACAACCGAACTCAGAAATCCAGCACTCCCTTGTGCCATATGAGACGGAAAGCTTTGGAACATTCAATATCTCAGTTCTATCACTACAACGACCACCAGGTTCAATAGAAAACACGTGATTCGCGATCACAATCGATAGGTCATACTTTGTACCTCGAAATTTCCAAATTCCTATCGCTTGGAACACTTCACAGGCTTTGCCTTGTGTTCGAACAAAATACGCTGCATTTGCAGCCATTCACCCCAAAGTGCTCGATGCCCGGACGACTCAATACACATCCCAATTGCTTGCAAAAGCCAAAGAACATCACCCTCAAAAAAAAATTGCCTTCGAAAATGCCGCACATGGAAATAAATTCAGAAGCGGGAAATATCCTTGATTCATCCAACGAAGAAGAAATGGTGCTACGAGTTGAATCTCAAATAATGCATGAACCAACAGCAGAATTAGTCATTCACCAAGACTGGTTTCAAAAGTTTGGCACTAACAGCCTGGTATAACTATGCGCTGGGCGCGCACTTGACAGCTATCTGCAAGTCGCCATTCCAAGCTATTGTGACGGTAACGTGTCAGACACAGCAATTCCAAGTGAGATGCGGACCGATGAAAGAACAAAACGACGTTGCTCTTAATTTCGACCATGCGTTATCTACCCTCATTGCTAAGATGAACCAATCAAATTCCTACTTGAAGGTACCCTACGCTATCACTTGAGCAGCTCTCAAGGCGTCTCAGCCTTTGAGCTGAAATCCCACAGCGCACCATTATCACATCAGTGGCTCTCGGACATAAGCCTACCCGGCATCGAGTCCTTCCTCAACGTTATGGAAAATGACATTGGGAGCTTTGAGTGTGACATTAGGCCTAGGGCTTCTAACCTACTTGGCAGGCTCTTTAATTTGCCTAAGCATCGCGAAAGTAGCATGCATGATCCCTGCTTCAACACCGAAGAAAATTTGTAAAGTACTACCACCTATAAGTTACCAAGGCCTTGATCCCTACACAGGGCAAACCGCTCAAGTGTAATCCCCCCTATCAAATAGTCCACAAAAATAAGAGTCCACATCAACAACAAAAAAGTGCACCGAAGAGGTACAAAGCTCTTCCCGGTGTCTCACCGATAAAACAGCATCACACATGGAAAAAAAAGTGACTCACCTTTTCTTCTATTCTTCTTCGCCTTTCTTCAACTATCTCTTCACCGATTTCAACAACTTCGCCCGCGCGGACTCCAACTATGCCTTCACCTTCAGCGATCAGCCGCCTAATCGCCTTACAACCTCACCAACACTCGTTGCTAACAAAAACTATCCCTACCGTCCTTACCGAGCCCAACAACGAATAATTCCAAGTGTGATACTCTACACTGCGTTTCATAAATATAGGTCCACCCTAATTTTTTGCTATTCCAAAGTTGCTGTGCATTTTTGGAAAATGCCGCTATTACCAATAGTTTCCCCATAACGAAAAACCTTGATACTTGATTTCTGGAGAAATCTCGATTCAGAATTATTAAAATATCTTCCTTAGAACGTATTTTCACCGTTTCGCAAATATGACTACACATCACTTGTCGAGAGATTTTACTATAACGAAAAAACGTCACGAATTTTCAATAATGGGATGACCCCCCAATAATCATAAGGAACACAATAATACGTTTTGAAATGCTGGTAGCCAAATTAGCTATTACAGTAGGATCGAAATTCGTCTGGGCGCCGATGATCGACCTTTTCAGCTTTTCGGCTGTTCCATTTTGCTTTACTTTGCTGTGGAACTTTATAACAATTAAGGCCCAATGATTCTCTATTGGATAACATGGTGGCCACCAGATAACTGCCACATTTTTTCCTGCAATTCCATCTGGCGCGGAGGGACCGGCATGGACAGCCGCGTTATCGTGTGTGAAAATCAAGGATAGAGGGGATCCTTGTTGAAAAAATGGTAAGACTCGCTTCGAAAGAACTTCACGATACCCTGTGGAATCTTTGTGAACGGAAACAAAAGCGAGCTCTAGCTACTCAGTCGTTCAAAGGTGCCTCAAACCATAAGGGATTCACCGCCGAAATTACGTTACATTGAAACCATCTGCGATTTTCACGCGATCATCCTGTACCCTCTTTTTCTGCCATATCCACCTAGAATAAACTTTTCCACGTCGATCTCAGACCACCTGTACACGAAACACGCCTTCGCTCCAAACACCGCCCAAAGGCAACACAAACACGGAGGTAGTGACAACGTCAACGAATAATAAACCGCGAAGGTAAAAATATATAAGCCATCCTCTCGACCATCGCCCAAACGGCAGAAATGAGACGAACAGTTAACTCTGCTCACCATTCCTCTCTAAAGAGCACGCGTGGGAAAGGCGCTCAGAAAAAACTATCATAAAGCGAAGCCGCCATCACGAGATGCCACCCGCTCAGTCGTTAGAGCGAAAAAAAGATGTAGTCACGACTCCTCGGCAGGATCAGCACGGGTATAGAACAAAACTCAACACACAGGCAAACACTATGGGATCGGGTTTAAAAAGAGATTTGCTTCGACGGCCTGACGAGAAAAGAGGTGCACGGCTAAAATTCCACGTCTCCGGGAAACAACCAGGACTTTATGCATTCCAGGACGGACGAGATAATATAAAGAGTACGGCAGTCCGGTGCAGGAAAGAAAGACGCACGCCCGACCAGCCACTACACAGCAATGCCCATACTTGCGATTACAATGTGAGGAAGATTACAAAGCAGAAAACCGTCGCAACAGACACCCCACACCCACAACCAAAACACCTAGCCACGACGCCAGAAGAGGCCCGACCACACCCAGGACTACCAGAGAGCAACCCACCACGGCCACACACAAAAGCAGACAACGGACAGAGGGATCCACGGCGAACGCTAAAGCACGCAGGCACACACCCCCCGACCATTCAGAGCAGCGAAGCAGGGCCCCCGCACAGCCCCGGAAGCACACAAAAAACAACACCCGGCCCAGAAAGAGCAAACTGAGATCCACACAACGAAGCAACTACTGCCAAAAGGCCGAGCCACACACCCCCCCCCCGCCTGGACAAGGACGATGCTCGCAAAAAACAGTGAACGACATCTAAACCACCCCGCCCCGAACCACAGCAAAGGGACCACAAACACCAAATAAGCGTTTCGGGGCGAAAGAAAGCGCAACACAGGAAAATGGGAGGAGAACAGAGCGGCCAGCAGGCCCGGGCGGAGCACCTCACACAGCAGGAGTCCAACAAAAAAAAAAAAAAAAAACAGAAAAGCACCGAGAACGACCGCCGAAACTTCCCGCCCGCAGCCAGCCCCCGACAACACCGCGGCAGGCATGTTGCGCCACCAGGAGGAGGAACGCTACCACCCCGCAACCAGGGGCGCACCCGGAGAGAGGACACGGGCGAGGCAAACGAGCCCCACAGCCCCGGAACGAAACCCGCAGAACAAGACACCCGAAAGAGGCCTTATAAGAAGCCACAAACGGGCG